GAAGGTCTCAGTGGGTGTGCCCGCATGCGTCCCGCACACCCATTCCGGCACATCCCTCACACGTTTCGTGGCCCCATAGGGAGCTCCACCGAAGGTCCCCGTGGCGCAGTCCACATGCGTCTCCTTTGCCCAGTACAGCGTTACGTGGCCCCATATGGAGCCCCACCGCAGGTCCCAGCCAGCCAGCTAGCTCTCTTTGCTCCGCGCAGCGGGCGACCCGCGCGCGTCGCTGGGACTCCTCCGGGGCGACCTGCGCGCGTCGCGGGGGCTCCGTGCTGCGTTCCGCCCAGCGCCTCGCTCGCCCGTCGTCGCTCTGCCCAGCGGCAAGAGCCTTGCCCGCTATCAGCCAGCCAGCTAGCTCTCTTCGCTCCGCGCAGTGGACGACCCGCGCGCGTCGCTGGGACCCCTCCGGGGTGACCTGCGCGCGTCGCGGGGGCTCCGCGCTGCGCTGCTCCCGCAGCCTTGGACTTTTGAGTGCGCGGGCAAAGAGGGAGTAAAGGAAGGGGAGGAAGCGGGCGCGATCCTCGCGGGGGGGCGCGCCGACATTGGCGTCGCGGCGCGCGGGCGATGCCGTCGGGGAGTCCCGGGGAAGCTCCTTGCGGCGGCCACGCCCAGCGTCACGAGTATTCAGAGGCAGTCGTTGTCAAACTATTGGCATTCATACACATTTGCACCACGCTTTGTCATATTCGCATTCATGCACGTAGACTCGCTCGCACGCAGATCATTCACAGTCAGACGCACGCGCGCAGATTCACCCGCGCTCAGTCTCCCTACGTACTCAGATCAATCGTTTTCGTTCACTTTGTGTACCACGCCACTCATGTCGGCACGCCCCTAGCACGGTTCGTTGCCTCATAGGGATCGCCACCGAAAAAATGAATCACTATTGCGGTACTCGCACCTGCATATGGTTGGGTCCCTCGTCAGGCTAATTTTTGCAATCCTTTTTGCAATCCTCCGTGCAAGAGATGCGCCGAGGGGACTTGCCCGCGTTCGAGGGCCCAGTGCCGGTGAGCGCACCTATAGAGAATCGGGCCCGCGCGCGGCCCCCGGGCCGCCCCGGGCCGTCGGCGTCTGATCGGGCTGGCAGGAACGGGGCAGAGGACAGGGGAGGTCCGATCGGGGGACGTCTAAATCAGGAGGGGAAGAAACACACAGACACAATTAATCGTCGATCCCCAGGATAATATGGGAAAATATGGGAAGCGGGGGGAGAGACAAAAACCAAGAAAATATGGGAAAATATGGGGAATATTTTTATTTGTGTGTATTTATTTGTGTGTTTGTGGGCCCCTTCACTAAAGGTGGGCGGATGCCGAGAGCAAGGAGTCGGCGGCGGGAAAGGCGGCGATGACGCGGGTCGCCAGAGGTGGCGAATCCGTGTTTTCATCGGACATTCCGCCAGGAACAGGCAGTGCTATGCGTTCAGCCGAGGTGCTTGTCCGTTGCCGCGAGATGCGCGTCGCGGCCAGCATCGGAGGGCGACGGGCGTCGAGAAATTGTTTCGAGACAAGTGCGAGGCAGACCTCGAGAGGGCAGGCGGGCCCGCCCCCTGCATGCGGAACGCTGATCAATTTCTGCTGCCGCCGAGAACGCTGCCAGGAAAGCTGCTCTTGGTGGGCCAGGCGAAGGAAAATGCCAGGTCGGAAAATGGGACAAGGCAAGAGCACGGGCAAGAGGCAGTGTTGGAGGCACCTGGCTTGGCAGACCTGCCCGCGTGGCGCGAACTGTTTGGGCCGTGCCAGTGCTCCAGGACATCCGTGTCGCCTCGGGTTGGCGTCCGGCATCTGCGTTGCTGGCGCCGACCAGACTTGGGGTGTGCAGCCGCGCTCTTGCCTCCCGGCATCGAGCGGCAAACTGGATCGTTGCCCTTGTCGTTTTGCGCGCCGGATCAGGATTCCGAGCTTTGCCCATGGCTCTTTTGGCTGGTCCCGATGATTGCTTGACCGATAGCAGCCGTGTTGTCAGAATCCATGTTCTTGAAAGGCCAGCCTGGCTGGCCCTTGTCGGGCAGGCTGCCCGGGGGCGCTCGAGTGCGCCCGATGTTCTGCTGTTCATTCGCCTGCTGCGGTTCGTCCAGGCAGGTGGTGTCACCGCGCTCCCCGCCGCCGCCTTCGACCTGCTTGGGCGGGGCATGCTGGGGCAAAGCGACATCTGCGAAGATGCCGAGGTGCGCGAGCGTCGCTATGTGGCGAAGCACAAGTAAGTGCGCGTCGACCCGATGACTCCGACTCCGGCCGCGCGGGCTCTCCGGGCTCTACGGGGAGTGGATTCGGGAGATCGGGGCTACACTGGGCGATCGCATGGATTTCCCAGCCAGGTGGGCCAAGGGTTGGGGGCGCAAGGTCAAGGCGCGCCAGCAGGTGGCCCGGCCATGACCAGGCCGCTGCACCTGGACAAGAAGCTTGGCATTCGTGGATTGATTGGAACACTGATCCGAGAGCGATCGTGATAGCGCATACGCCCGGCATGCAGGTATTCGCACCGCTGCATCTGCCTGGATGGCCGAGGCAGGCAGGCAAGCTGACCCCGTCAAGATCGGGTTCATGCGGTTCGTCAGGGTCACGGGCAGTAGAACATTTTGATGGCGGTCAATTTTTTAGGGGTTCGGGATTCGATGGGCAAGGTTTAGCCGCTGGCCGTGCCCATCGCCCTCAGCACCTCCGGGGGCCAGGCACGAGCCCTTAGTGCCGTCAGGATCTCCTGCGATGAACTTACAGGTGGAAGCATGGGGGCGATTGTCATGCCGGATGCGCCAAGCTTGATTTCAGTTGGTGAGGTCTGCATGGGTCACGGCTGCAATTTTCACTGAAGAGCCCACGGGGTACCATGCCTGCAACTGCCTGGTGGTACGAGACTGGACCTGACCTTTCACGGGGAGATGCCTTACCACACCGTGGAAGGCAGAGGGGTAATGGGTCGGGTGGTTGAGGCAGCTTCCGCGCATCCGGGAGGTTATGAACGGTGGGCCTGTGTGGTGATCAACGCGAAGTCATTCCTAGCTGATCCTGGTCACGTGGGGGGTCCTCCACTCCTGGCGGCTAGGTGCTACGCTGCCCTGGAGTTGCACTTGCTGAAGGTGGCCGCAGAGAACTCTTTCAGACGCGGAGAGCTGGGCGACATATCCGTCAGTTCTGACGGCGACCGTGCCGCGGGGGCATCAGCGTTACACGGGCAGGGCGCGATCAGTTATTTCTAGTACGAGCTCCACTGGGCTGGGCTGGTGCCGAGACTGTTTCTGTCGCATCGGACCCTGGAGGGTGGGGGCCATCGCGCGATTGTGTTTCGTGTGGTGAGAGAGGGGGCGGGCGAGGGTGGCGACCAACTGCGCCGCTCCCTGGAGGGCGGGCGAGGGCGGGCGGACCCTGGAGGGTGGGCGAGCAACTGCGCCGCTCCCTCCGACGGCTGTTCCCGCTACCGGCGACGGCGACGTCGCCGGGGTCGAGGGGCCGACGGGGCCAGGGGCCGATGAAATCGTCGACGACGACGGCGAAGACGACCTGGGTGACCAGGATCGGTTCGTGGAGACGTCCAGGGTCGAGCGCCTCATGCGCGACGCCGTCTCCCAGGATGTGCCTGCGCGTGTTCCCCAGGATACTTGTTGCCGGGCTTGCTACAAGGCGAAGACGTGGAGGGCGCATCGGAGGAATAATCACATCATACTGGTTGCAATAATTTCGGTCCGTGCTCCGAGCCGACGAAGTTCGGGGACCTGTGTGCCATGGGCCGCTGGTCTGCGGCCGATGGGCTATCGGGTGGGCTCTGCGGGGGGGCCTCGTGCGTGGCGCTGCGCGACTGATTCACTGTTTTCCTGGCTCGCCAGAGCACCCGCGACACATCGGCGGAGCACGCGGTCGGTTCCTGGGTCGATCTTCTGGCACCTGCTGAACATTTTGCGTTGATTTGCTCCGGTGCAGCGCGTGTGCTCGAGCGGGCATGACAATCTCTCCACGTGCATCCGTTGAGCGAGTCGGTGACTGCGCGGAATTCCACCTGACCATCCGACAAGAATAATGAGTCAGTGGCGGAGAGGGCGAAAGTCGTCGTCCAGGACGGTCCGAGGGCGCTGTTGATGACGACCGGACTGCTGGTCTCCCAGTGGTGGACCAGAAAACCCCTCGTTGGTCGGGCCCTCGTCTGCCCCCCCGTCGCCGCATCTCCCAACCCCCCATCGCGGGCAGGAGGCGGCGGATCCACATCCTGAGCCTTCATTCTGGGATCTCACCCTGCTATGACCATTTCATGGACCACGCGAACCTCTCTGACCAATCCGATCCCTTCGCATTGCCTCCGGAGTGGGTCGCCGACGTGAACGCGGATGGGTGTGCTGTCAGGCCCGTCACCAAGGCCGAGGCGGCCCAGAGCGCAGGCGCGAGGGCAACACTTAAGATGGAGTGCGACCAGCTGCGTGAGATCATCCTCCCCTTCTCTTGCTCCTCCTCCTCCTCCGCGGCCTCCTCCCCCCCTTCTCCTCCTCCTCCTCCTCCTCCTCCTCCTCCTCCTCCTCCGCGGCCTCCTCCTCTTCCTCGGGGGTCCCGACGCGTTGGAGCTCGTGTCGCTGTTCCATCCCCCCCTGTTTGTTTGCCCCGCCCCCTACGGCCGTGCCCTGCCTTTCAAGCCTCGGGCCGTCCAGCCGTGGTATGGGGGTGGGTGGGAGCGAGAGGTCGCCCAGTGCCACGCGTGATGAGAGCTACCTCGTCACAGTGCCCGCAAGAAACGACAGCGAAGCAGTCCAAGTTGTTGTTTCAGTTCCCCGCGTTACTGCAGGATCAGTTGACACGTCGCTGCAGAGTCGTTCGTTCGTTCCTCCTCTTGCTCCTCTTCCACCTCCTCCCCTCCTCCTCCTCCCCCTCCTCCTCCTTCTCTTCCTTCTCACTCCTCTTTGCCTCTCTTCTAATCTATCGCCCCTTTCCTCTTCGGCCGCCTTCTCATTCTCCTCATCCTCCTCCATTTCCTCCTCCTTGCATCCCTTTATCCCCTCCCGCGCTCCAGCGCAGGAGTCGATGATGTTCCAGAGGAAGGCCTTCCCTGAACTGGAAGACGGCGGCGAGATGCAGGATAAGCTGGAATTTAACGGGTGGGCGCTGGCTGCACAGAGGTCCGAGGAGAAGGGCGATGATATTTTCGACGACGAAGAAGGCGACGAGCATTATGATGCTGATGATGCTGATGACGATGACGATGATGATGATGATGATGATGATGATGATGATGCTGATGACGATGATGATGATGATTATGATTATGATGATGATGATGATGATGATGATGCTGATGATGATGATGATGATTATGTTGACGATGCAGATGATGATGCTAATGCTGCTGCTGATGCTGCTGATGATGATGGTGATGGTGATGGTGATGATGCTGATGGTGATGGTCCTGGTGGTGGTGGTGGTGGTGGTGTTGCTGATGGTGATGGCGATGGTGATTCTAATGACGACGATGCTGCTGTTAATGATGAGCAGGACTATGATGATGCTGATGATGATAATGATGATGATGATGATGCGGATGATGATGACGATGATGTCGGTCATGGTGATGATGATGGTGCCGATGACGGTTCTGGTGTTGAGGATGGCGGTGGTGTTGCCGATGACGATGATGATGAGGATGATGATGCCATTGCGGATGTTCATGCGGGCGATAAGACTACTGATATTGATGATGTGATGCTGATGATGTTTCGGCTGATGATGCTGGTGATGATGATGATGATGATGATGATGATGATGATGATGATGTTGATTATCACGACGCCGACGACGGCGGACGACGACGATGACGACGATGATGATTCTGATGCTGATGCTGATGATGATGATGCTGATGATGGTGGTGGTGGTGGTGTTGAGGGGTGGTGATGATGTTGACGTTGATGATGCTGATGCTTCTGAAGATGATGATGATGATGCTGATGATGCTGATTTTGATGATGATTGTGTTGGCGAGGATGGTGATGACGATGTTGGTGCTGCTGCAGCTTATGTTTATGGTGCCCCTTGCTTCTGCTGTTTCTGCTCCTGCTGATGATGCTGTTCATGATGTTGCAGATGATACTGATGGTGGTGATTATGATGCTTCTGAGGCTGATGATGATGATGCTGATAATCGTTTTGCTGCTGGTGGTGATGATGCTGACTATGCTGGTGGTGTTGATGATGATGCTGATGATGGTGATGATGGAGATGATGATGATGATGATGATGATGATGATGATGATGATGATGATGATGATGATGCTGATGGTGATGATAATGCTTATCAAGGTAATGTCTTATTACCATTATTTAAAAAATCCTTTCTACATTTGATTTCGTTATTCTATCATTATTACTACTACTGTTAGAGTTAATAGAAGATGTATAGCATCATCATCGTCACCATCATCACTGCTATTTTTGTATTATTTAAGCTAGTTTCATTCACACTATCTCTATCACCATATTTTTCATTCATTGGCTTACGCCACACCGTCGATCCCTTGGGGCGGCAGCAATCGTCCCCCGCGTGGCCTGTCCGGACAGCCTGTGAGGCCCCTCTAGACACGTTTTGGGGCTGTCTTAGGACCGTCCTGCCGTTCCCCCTGGCCGTTGCTATGGTTTCTGGGGCCTTCGTGGGGCGCCCGGAGGCCGTCGTGGAGCCTTTTGGAGAGTCTCTTGAGGTGCCAGAGGTCGATCTTGGAGGTTTGCTGGGCCGTTGTGGGCCTCGTGGAGGCCCAAGAAGCGAATATGCTGAAGATGTACGTTTTCCAGAGGGAATGGGACGGTTTTTGCTTCTGGAGGCCTTCTTGGAGCGCCTCGTGGTCGCGTATGCAAGCGTCTTGGACGCCCATGGGGCTGTCTGGAGGCAGTCTTGGGCGGCTTGGACCGAATCGTCCCCCGCGTGGGCCGTCCGGACAGCCTTTGGGAGCCCTGTTGCCCCGTTTTGGATCCTTCTTGGGACCGTCCTGCGGCTTTCCTGGGCCGTTGCTATGGTTTCTGGAGCCTTCGTGGATCGCCCGGAAGCCGTCTTGGAGCCTTCTTGGGAGCCTTTTCGGGTGACAGGGGTCGATCTTGGAGGTTTATTGGGCTGTTGTGGGCATTGTGAAAGCCCAAGAAGCGAATGTGCTGAAAATGTACGTTTTACTTAGGGAATTTGACGGTTTTTGCTTGTGGAGGCCTTCTTGGAGCGCCTCGTGGTCGCGTTTTCAAACGTCTTGGACACCCATGGGGCCGTCTGTCGGCGATCTTGGGCGGTTTGGACCGAATCGTCCCCCGCGTGGGCCGTCCGGACAGCCTTTGGGGGCCCTGTTGTCCTGTTTTGGAGCCCTCTTGGGACCGTCCTGCGGCTTTCCAAAGCCGTTGCTATGGTTTCTAGGGCCTTCGTGGATCGCCCGGACGCCGTCTTGGAGCCTTTTTGGGAGCCTCTTGGGTTGGCGAGGGTCGATCTTGGAGGCTTCTTGGGCCGTTTTGCGCCGTGTGGAAGCCGAATGGGCGAATTGGTGAAATGTACGTTTTCCCTAAGGAATGGGACGGTTTTTGCTTCTGGAGGGCCTCTTTGGGGCGCCGCGTAATATTGTTTCAAACGTCTAGGGGACTCATGGAGCCGTGTGGATGCGATCTTCGGCATTTTGGGGCGATCTTTCGTCGATTCGTAGCTCACTTGGACCGTTCTGGGAGCCTTTGGAAGCTTTTTGGTCCGTTTTGGGGCCTCCTGAGGCTCCAAGTGTGGGTATGATGGATTTGCCCCCCCCCCCCCCCCTCCAATCCGGCCGGACCAGGCCCCCGGGGGAGGGATTTGTGGAGGGAGCAGCATCTCACACGCCGTGACCCCCAGGGGTCGGCGGATTTTGTTCATTAGTACTGTTTTTGCTCCTGTTCTTGCCATTCTTTCATTATGGCAATGTTCTCATTATTATTGTTATCGTTGCTAGTATTTCTATTAGTACCAGTTTTGTATTCGTGTGACTATGCTTGTTTTTTATTATTGTGCCTTTGCTGATTATCACTTTGTAATACTGCCGCCATTGTTATTACTGTGCTTGTTATCATCATTCGCCTCACCATCACTATCTACATTATTATTATTATTTGTATTCTTAGTATGTTTATAGTTAATATTATCATTAATATCGTTAATCTTATTATTATTGTTATTATTATTATGCATGTTATTCCAATTATTCGTATTCGCCTCAGTATTATCATTGATCGTACTACTGCTGCCATGCCTGCTATTGTGGGGTGCCAAAAACAAACAGGCCACGCCGGCCATATTGGCCGCAGATTCTCAATTCGTGGCGCTTCACGTATCCCCACCAGTCCTCGACCACCACCTGCGGGTGGTTCTGGTAAGGCACACTCCTGCACAAGTGGTTTATCCTTTGGCAGGCCCGGCCTTTCCACGACGTGGCCATTCCGTTATTCGGCTCCGTCGCCCTGGAGTACGGCTTCCTGTGCAAGTGGTGCATCCTTTGGCAGGTCCGTGCCTCTTCCTGGCAGGCGTTTCCCCCCCGGCGTTGCCAGCGACAGTTGCTTCTTCCTCTGGTAGAGGTTCACGCTCGCGGACGCCATCGACGTCTTGCCCTTCTGCGATGATCAGGTGGTGCACTCCTACCCGCAGTTCCCCCCTGGCGAGGCTCTGAGCACTGGTGGTTGTGACGTGGCCCCCACGCGACGTTCATCCCTGTCGTTGATGGTGCTGGTTGCCACTCGGGATTCACGACCTGTCCACCATCGATTGGGTCAGTGACGGCGCGCCGGCGAGCACCTGGTGCTCCGTGAGTGAGGCATCCTTCTTCTCCCCCCTCGTTTTTTCTTCCTGTCGCCCTGCTCAGCGCCCGGCTTCCTGGTGCTGGCGCCACGTCGCCACGTGCGGCTGACTCTCGATAGGCGCTCTACTCCTCTTAGGCTTGTTGCCTCCGTCTGCCCGTTTTCCCCAATTTGTTCTGCATGTTGCACGTGCGGTCGGCTGTCGACAGTGACAGCTGGGTTTGCAAATTATCTGGCTCTGTGCCCCAGTCAGCCCGATTGACGCGCCCTCTGGACTCCTCCTTGCGGGCCGCAGATTTTTTTAAAGTACCCCCACCAGTCCATCCAGGTTTTTGCCAGGCGAGTTACCCTGACCAGGGAAGTCTAGAAGCATGCAGTGTAACAGCCGCCTTGAAAGTGTTTTCTCGGAGGTCTTTTGGAGCCGTCTTGGGTCTCTCTTGGGGTCCTCGCGGAGGCACTTGGGGAACTTTTGGGGCCCTCTTGGAGCTTTTGGGGGGTCTAGGGGCCCTCTTCGGACTTTTTGGGGCTGTCTGCGGGCCTGTTGGGGCCGTCTTGGGCCCCCCATGGCTCAAAAAGAGGGGGGAAGGGGTAAATTCAGCCCCCCCCCCCCCCCCCTCGGAGACTCAACCATGTTGTCTTGAGGCCCTCTTGGGCGCTCTTAGGGCCCTCTTGGGCCTCTTACGGGGCTCTCTTGGGCTGTGTTGTGGCCATCTTGAGGCCTTAAGAGCCCATCGGAAGCGGAAAATCGAGAAGGCAACAACCATTGGGTGTTCCCAGGTTTTCGACGAAGTTTGGCATCTTGGGGGGTCCTTGGAGGGTTCGGAGGGCACTTGATACCGTTTTGGGGCTGCTTCGAGGCCTCTTTGATGTGTGTCGGAGGCTACATTGAACAGTCTTGAGGTATCTTGGTCCATTTAGGTCATCTTGGGCCTTCTGAGGCCCCCTTGGAGCCATATTGGGCCATCTTGGGCGCTCTAACTACCCGCGCTCCTCCCTCCCAGGCCCAGGGGGAAGGGGGGATAAAGGGGGAGGCGTACCCTTCCCCCCGAGCAGGGGAAGGAGGGGTTTTGGCAGAGAGAAGATTTTGAAGCGGGTGGGATTTGAAGCGGCTCCATGCGTGGCGACGTGGAGGGCCGTGGCATCCATTGTTTCTGCGATGGCTCGCCTGCCGCACGAGGGGACGGGCGGGGGCAGCGGCTGCCACTGCCCAACCACCCCTGGCGCGCCCCGCGACGGATTTGGGGCAACGCCCCCTCAGTCCCACGAGGCGGGCAGAGGCGGGGCTGCCATGCCCCAGACCTTCCAGCAGCGTCCTGCAACGCAAGGTGGGGGCGGTGGGTAGCGATCCAGTGGCCCACCTGCTGGGGCAGGGGGGAGAAGGGGGGGAGGGCCAGGACACATGGAGACCCCAGCCCTGCAGTGCTCGAACCTGGCGGCGCCGAGGTCCATCCAACACTCTGGGGCTCGAACCTGGCAGCGAGGATCCACCAGGGGCGGCGGACGAGGCGGCAGCCTAGGGTCTCGGGGTTGGGGAAGAATATTCGCGGGCCCAGGGGCGCAAGCTGCGTCCACTCCAGAACTGGACCCAGGGCTCGCCGCAAGTCCCCGAGAGGGACTGGACGGAGGGAGGGAGAGAGGGGTTTGTCGTGACCGTGCGCGTTCCCTCAAATCCCAGAGATGTATGCTCGACCAAACACACATGATGATGCTGATGCTGATGCTGATGCTGATGCTGATGCTGATGCTGCCGCTGCCGCTGCCGCTGCTGCTGCTGTTGTTGATGATGATGAAGCTGATGCTGATGATGATGCTGATGATGATGCTGATGCTGATGATACTGATGATGTTGCTGATGCTGGTGCCGATGACGATGCGGATGATGCTGTTGGTGGTGGTGATGATGATGCTGATCATCATGATGCTGATGCTTATGCTGATGACGATGGTGATATTGATGGTGATGGTGATGGTGTTGATGGCGATGTTGATGGTGCTGATAATGCTGATGATGATACGGCTGATGCTGCTGATGATGTTCGTGATGCTGATGCTGATGATGACGATGATGGTGCTGATGATGCTGCTGCTGATGATGATGATCACGATGTGAAGCTTGAAGATGAGGAGGCGGAGGAGGATCAGCAAACGCGCAAGAGGTTGCTCAGCACCAGTTGACAACGATGATGCTGATGTTCATCATGAGGCCCGAGGAGGATGATGAAGAGAAGATGGGGGAAGGGCGATGATGAGGAGGATGCTGCACGAAGAGGTGGAGGAGGAAGAGTAGACGGACGAGGCGGGACCAGGACGGAGATGATGAGGATTGGTGGTAGTGGTGGTGTTGATGCTATGATTATGATGCTGCCTGCGATGATGATGAGGAGGAGGACGAGGATGATGATGATGATGTCGATGATGGTGATGATAGTGATGATACTGATGCTGATGATGTTGGTGATGGTAGTGATGGGGATGCTGATGCTGATGATGACGACTATTGAAGACGACGATGTTGATGATGACGAGGACGACGGTCAAGATGATGATGATGATGCTGATGCTGATGGTGATGGTGCTGATGATGCTGCTGCGGCTGATGATACTAATGCATCTGATGCTGGATGGGGAGGCGGAGGAGGAGGCTAAGGAGGATGCTACTGATGATGCTGTTGGTGGTGATGATGGTGATGATGCTGATGCTCATGAGGCTGACGATTATGATGCTGATGATGCTGATGCTGGCGATGTTGATGGTGTTGATGCTGCTGATTCTGATGATGCTGATGATAATGATGATGAGGAGTCGGAGGAGGATGATGAGGATGCTAATGATGATGTTGTTGTTGGTGGTGGTGATGATACTGATGATGCTGCTGATCATCATGATGTTGATGATTATGATGCTGATGCTGATGATGCTGCTGATGATGCTGATGGTGGCGATGATGATGCTGGCGATGTTCATGGTGTTGATGTCGCTGATGCTGATGATGCTGATACTGCAGATGATGTTCGTGATAATGATGCTGATGATGCTGATGATGATGTTGATGCTGATAATGATGATGATGGTGATAATGCTGCTGATGATGGTGATGATGCTGATGATGCTGACATTGATAGTGATGATGATGATGATGATGATGATGATGATGATGATGATGATAATGATGTTGATGTTGTTGAGGCTGCTGATGCTGATGATGTTGATACTGCTGATGCTGTTTGAGATAATAATAATAATGAATATGATGGTGGTGGTTGTGGTGATGATGATGCTGATTACTATGATGATGCTGATGATGCTATTGATGATGGTGATGATGGCGATGTTGATGGTGTTGATGCTGATGATGATGATGATGCTGATGCTGCTGATGATGTTTGCGAGGATGATGCTGATGATGCTGATGATGAGGATGATGATGATGATGATGATGATGATGATGATGATGATGATGATGATGATTATCATGCTGATGATGGTGATGATGTTGATGATGCTGCTGATGATGCTGATGATGATGGTGGTGTTGATGATGGTAATGATACTGATGATGATGCTGCTGATGATGATGATGATGATGATGACGATGACGATGACGATGATGATGATGCTGCTGATGATGATGATGATGATGATGATGATGATGATGATGATGATGATCACGGCGGTGGCGGTGGCGACGACGACGACGGAGTTGACGGCGACGACGACGACGTTGACAACTGCGACGACGACGGCGTGGATGCACCTTGTCGGGTCGGCGCCCGCTGATGCGACCGAGTCCCTTCCTGGACGCCTGCTCCGCTAATGTCGGCCCCAGACGCTGTGTTCCAGAAGTTGTCCCACAGCTGCCCCAAGCAGATCCCGAGACTTCACGACAACTCCCAGACAGGTCCCGAGCCACTCTCGACAAGTCCTTGGTCACTTCTGTTTCATGTTTTGCAAGTTTTCGAACGGTTTCACCCAAACGTACGCCTCACGCGTGGCTGGCCGCGTCCAGAATCAGCTTATCAGAATGTGAATTGCGCCAGCGCATCTCTTCTGGTCGATGAGCTCGTTGGCCTTGCGAAGCATTCTCTATCCGTTTCAGGCCCAGCACTTGTCTATGTACAGTGGTTGTGACCCAGCGCACGTGTATTTAGTATACTTCTTTGCATATGTATTCTGCCCTTTGTCTTCATGCCAATGTGTCGTGATGCGCCTTCTAGGCGTGGCTTCGTCCTGTCCTGTCCTGTCTCTGAAAAGTAACAATGGTTCCCCTCGGTGACGTTCAGCGTGCGATCACACCTCTACGGTCAATGGTCTTGCCCCTGGTCTGGATCCATGTTCGATTTCGTTATCGGTTAGTTCTGTGCTCGATTTCTGTGCTATGATCGGCCCCTCTTTGTGACCCCAGAGCGCGTCCGAGGTGGTACAAGTACCGCAAGAACGGCGGCGAGTATCACTACAACAACCCAGAGATGTCGAAGGCCCCTCCTCGAGCAGAGGAGGAGGAGGAGGGAGGGGGGGGGAGGTGGGAGGAGGAGGGAGGAGGCGGGAGGAGGGAGAGGAGGGAGGAGGGAGGAGGGTCGAGTGAGGAGTGAGGAGTGAGGAGGATGTGGAGGATGGAGGATGGAGGAGGAGGAGGGAGGAGGGAGGATGGAGGAGGGAGGAGGAGGGAGGAGGGAGGAGAGCGGAGGAGAGCGGAGGGAGGAGGGAGGGGGGAGGAGGGAGGAGGGAGGAGGGAGGAGGAGGGAGGAGGAGGTGGAGGAGGAGGAGGATGAGGATGAGGAGTAGGAGGAGGAGGATGAAAGGGACCGGTGTAAACCCAAGACGCACCAACGATTTTGCAAGAGACCCTTCGTCCAAGTTTCCTCCTCATAGGTCCCTGCAATATTCTATTACATTTCGGGAAATGGCCCACTAGAAGGCAACCGTTTCAGAATCCTCAATCGCACCAACACGCAATTTGTTGGAATTCGACGTCGCCGATCAACGTGGCTGTTGCGTCCTGACGATCCCGAACCGTGCCAGAACATTATTTGCACCGCGAGTCCATGTGGTTGTGGCTGTTCCGTGGCTGTTGCTCAATCAAGCCACCACCCTGGCGGAGAAGGGGTCAGAGTGAAGGGGCTTCCTTCGTCTCGTCGACGACGTTGCTCAATGTTCCTCTGACCAGCGCGCCGTTGGAGGAACGCCGAGGGAATGGGGGTGGGAGCGGCGTGCAGGGGGGGGGTACCCTCTGGGACCCCCTGGGGGGATGGTATTCCGACACGAGACCCCTCCCCCGCGGGACTCCCACCTGGGGGGTGGTCAACACCCTCCGGGCCTCCCCCCTGGCGGCGAAGCGGTCAGGGGGAGGGGGCTTCCTTCGAGTCAAATGCGACGTTGCTCAATGTGCTTCAGGTTGCCGCGCTCAGGGGAAACTCCCAGGGCGGGGGGGGAGGGGCGGCGGCGGCGGCGACGGAGACGACGACGACGACGTCGACGACTACAGACACGCCTGGGGGTGCGACAGGGAAAAATTGTTCCAAAGGGAAAGGGATGGAGGATGAGGAGGAGGAGGAGGAGGAGGAGGAGGAGGAGGAGGAGGAGGAGGAGATGGAGGAGGAGATGGAGGATGCGGAGGAGGAGGAGGAGGAGGAGGAGGAGGAGGAGGAGGAGGAGATGGAGGAGGAGATGGAGGAGGAGATGGAGGAGGAGATGGAGGAGGAGATGGAGGAGGAGGAGGAGGAGGAGGAGGAAGGAGGAGGAGGAGGAGAGGAGGAGGAGGAGGAGGAGAGGAGGAGGAGGAGAGGAGGAGCAGGAACAGGAAAGAGGAGGAGGAGGAGTAGGAGGAGGAGTAGGAGGAGGAGGAGGAGGAGGAGGAGGAGGAGGAGGAGGGGGAGGAGCGAGGATGAGTAATGATAGTCGAGGAGGAGCGAAGAGGAGCGGCGACCGCCGAGAACGCCGCTGCGGCCTCGACGGCGGCGGCGCTGGTGGCGTCTGCTGCGCGGCACCTGCCGCCCGCAAGGTTCGGAAGATGGCGGTCTGGGGCTTAGCGTCAAATCCGGCATGCCCCTCTACGGGAGCAAGTTTTAATAATCGTTTAGACATAGCCTGGTGACGAGTTAGTCGTGCTCTTGTGACTCTTTTTGATTTTTGTTGACTCTTTCTTCTTTTCTTTCAAAATCCGCCTGTAGGAGGACAGGCCCGACCTAAGGTCAGCGAGGGGAGCCTCCCCCCCCTTTCGGGTATAGCCAGGACCCCAGGTAAGGGGACCCGGTTAGTGGTAGGGTCCGGGGGCCCCGAAATTGGCCAGAATCACCAAACCAGGCTTGCCGCAACTGGCGTTCTTCGGGTGACGGCAGTTCCGGTTAGTGGAAATGGGACGGGTTCCCTTAATTCGGGAGCGGAAAAGAGGGGGGTGATGACTAGGGGGGGGTGGATTTCATGGCGCGGCCCATGATTTTTCCTCAGATTTCATGGCGCCTCTTCTTATTTCATTACGTCCCAGGCCCCCCCGCTGGGCCGCGCACATGCCGCCGGTCATGATTTGCACCCCCCCCTCTTGGACACCCCCCTCTTTGCCGCCCCCGATTAATCCGGGTTGCACTAAACCCAGTTCTGCCAACGCCCCCCCCTTTGCCGAGTGCCCTCTGGGCTCCCCCGCCTGCCGCGGCGGCCGGCGCGCGGGCACCCCCCCGCAGGCGCTCCACCAGGCCGTGCGCAACAACGAGCCGCTGAGCTACGAGGAGTGCCTGGCCTGCCAGGGGCCCCGCCCAGGGAGGGGGGGGGTTCAGCCTCCTCCTCCTCCTCCCCCTCCTTCCCCACTTCTCCTCCTCCATCCTCCTCGGCCTCCTCCTCCCTCTCCTCCCTCCCCCCTCCTCCTCCTCCTCCCTCCTCCTCCCTCCCTCACCCGCCTCCTCCTCCCCTCCTCTCCTCCTCCCTCCCCCTCATCATCCTCCTCCTCCACCACCACCGCTTGGCGGCGCGCACAAGGGTGGGGGAGGGGGGAGGGCTTCTCAGAAGCACCCCTGCTTCTTAGAAGGCGCGGGCCTTCATCTATAGATGTAAGGCCGTCGCCTTCTAAGAAGCAGCCTCCTTCTAAGAAGCCCTCCCCCTCCCTCCACCACCCCCTTGTGCGCGCCGCCAAGGGACGTGGCCAGTCGAAGAAGAACAAACGGCATAAGCATAAGCTTTTCGCGCTCTGCGCGGAGCGCGGAAAGCTCATGTTTATGCCATTGTTTATTCCTCTAGTCAGGGCGCCCGCGCCCGGCAGGTCACTCCGTTCTCATCCTCCCCTGAGATCTTGGCGTCTCTATTTTTCCGAGCCGGGCGTCTTCGCCTTTTCTCGAGCCCCGGGACCCTCACGGATCGACCCGTCTCTAAAAATGATGCAGAAAGATGGGGTGTAGGGCTCTCCAGGCGTCAGTCAGAGCGGCAGATTATGCAGGATTCTGCAGAGCCAGGATCGCATCGACCCGGGCTTGGGTGCAGGATCCTGCAGGATCCCGCCGGGCCCGATTGTCACCACCCACCAAACCACCCCAACCCAACCCGAAGGCTCAGATTTACCCTCGATTTCCGGTGGGGGGGGGTCGGGAAACATCGAAAAACACATGTGGAACCCTTACCCCCCCCAACCCGAAAGTCGGGTCTTCGGGTTGGGTTGGGGTGGTCTGGTAGGTAGTCAGATTGACCCGGGTCTGGACTGAGCCGGGTCAGTAGATCCCCGACTTCCTCCTTAGCCTCCTCTCCCCGCTCCCCTTTTCCCTTCCCTGGTCCCCCGTGCCATCGAGAGCAAAAGAGCCCCCAACCCTGATAACGCGATGGGGACGTGGCCTAACTTGGGTCCCCGTCTTCGCATTTGGGATGATCGAGTCTGGGCGATTTGGCAGAGAAGACCCCCTATCCATGATGTTTCTGGCCCTCTTACTAACTTATGTCCTCCTCAAAGGGTTAGGGCTTCTCTTATTTCTAAACACCTTTTCCCCCTTTCCCCCCGTTCCCCGTCTTTCCTTTTTTGCAATTACTCGATATGAGTACTACGCTCCTCTCTCCCCCGACTACGTCCTGCAGGTATCCTGCCCTCTCTCTCTGTCTTTCTGTTTGTCTGTCTGTCTGTCTGTGCCTGTCTTTCTGTCTGTCTGTGCCTGTCTTTCTGTCTGTCTGTCTGTCTGTCTGTCTGTCTGTCTGTCTGTCTGTCTGTCTGTCTGTCTGTCTGTCTGTCTGTCTCTCTCTCTCTCTTTCCCTCTCTCTCTCTCTCGCATACAGTGGCCTTCGGCGCATCCCGCCACCGTGCCCGGGTTGTGGGCCAGAGGCCTCCTGAATGCTTGTGAGAATGCCTCTTGGAGGCGATTCTGGGGGCTTGGCATCGCTCGGACGTGTGCATGTTTCCTTCGGCGAGGACCATCGAGGAGCATCCTTTATCATTTGGGGAAACAACCACGCACGAAACCGAAAAAAGCACAGGGTATGGACGTCCGAGCGATGGCCAGGGGCTGTCTTGGGACGTCTTTGGGGCCTCTCTCGGGGCCTCTTGGGGCCTCCTGGGCGCCCCTTGGAGGCTCTTGGGCCATCTTGGGGTGGGAGGGCTTACATCAGGAGGAGGAAAAACACACAGACACAATTAATCGTCGATTCCCTAGAAAATATGGGAAAATATGGGCAGTGGGGGGGAATACAGAAACCCCGAAAATATGGGAAAATGTGGGGAATCATTTTATTTGTGTGTATTTATTTGTGTGTCCTTGGGCCCCTTGATTAAACTGCCAGTTCGTGTTCCCCAACGTGGGCTGTTTCGGCGTCTCGGGCCGCCCTCCAGGGTGCTTCCAGTACGTTCCGAGAGGCGCCCGGGAGGGCTCCAGGGCGGTCCCCGGGGCCAGCGGAGACCATGTCGGACATGCATGCCTCGAATTTCGTGCTCGTGGCTTCTCGATGAGTCATGTGGGGACCCCCCAAGAGCGCGCAAGAGCGCGCGAGAGTCCCCGAAACTCCTGGCTGTGGGCCCCGTGAAGAATGTTGGCAGAATTCCATGCAGAGAGCTCGAATGGACCTGCGGACACTCCAACTCGTGCCTCAGGGCACCGTGGCATATTGATATATTGGTATATCAATCAAAATAGCGATTGCTCTTGGTTGCATTTTTAGTCATCACCGTTGTCAGATTGTTGTTCCTTATCCTTCTTCTCTCATGCGTCCTCTTTCTCTTCCTCTTCCTCGTTCTCGCCTTCATTACCCCGCGAACCCTTTCA